TTTACTCACCTCCGCCAACATCAACAGAATCATCTCCATCACCAGTTCCCTCTTCTCCACCGCTTACGCAGTCACCACCACCAACATCCGTAGTATCATCTCCATCACCGGTGCACTCTCCTTCACCACCACCATCATCCGTAGCATCATCTTCACCACCACTTGTATCCTCACCACCGCCTCTAAGCCAATCACCACCACCACTACCACCACCAGTGTACTCTCCTCCACCACTGGTGTCGTCACCGCAGCCATCGCCTCTCGTCTCCTCCCCATCACCTGAGTTGGCCGTCCTCCCACCCGTCGGTGGGTTGAGCTATGCGTCACCACCTCCACCCATCTACAAAGGCTACTAAGCTGGAGCGCTCCCATCTCTACATTCCATGCACTCCATAGAGGAAGATGCCATCTCTCTTGCTTTCTCTCTCAAGCTAAAGACTAAAGAGGGCATGCAAAAAGAGTGGGACTGAAATCAAACCGACCGCCGCAGCACATAATCTGCATCTTCTCACCATGTCGAGGATTTCTAAATTATCATCTTTTTTGTCTCTTGATGATCAAATACGAGAGCGTTTTTTTTTGTCCTTTCTCTATTCAAATTCTTGTGGATGGTTTTCTACTGTGCCATACGGACAAGGCTTGAGCATGCTGATGAAGTTTCTACTTACGGCTTGGCGATCTGAGTACTAACGTTTTGCACCATAGATCATACCTACATTAATAATATATTCACGTGTTAGGGGAAAATATTATTGAACGTTCAATTTAACCCGGTTCGGCAACACATGCTTAAGAACGATGAGATGCCGCCAAGGTGGCGTTGGAAGTCTTATGGAAATCAATGTAGGTGTGCTCGGGTGTTCCGACGATAACCTACACGAAGATCAAGATCGGGAGTGATTTTTTCGAACTGATCCCTCCAACGCTAAGTTAGCCTCAAGGTGAAAGTAAGGTAGAAGTTGTAAAAAGTTGATTAACCTTAATTCTTAGGATGAAGATAGATGTTTAAATCAAATAACAAAAGAAATAAAATATTTCAAGAAGTATTCCTATAGGGGATAACATATGACAACCCCCTCTTGAACTCTTATTTATATAGACGACAAAAAAATGGGGAGATGGTTCATAAATGTCTATTGTTTACTCATGTCCATGTGAGCAAACCAAGGAGATAGGTCTTGTCTCCCTTTTGCTAACTTGGTTAATATGTGTAGGTCCATGTCGAGTAATTATTGATCAACAATATTTCTTCTATCAGTTATCCCACCCTCTTGAAGGTATGTTTTGAGGTATTTAATGCATGATCTACTTACATGCCTCAAGCTCTCCGAAGAGATTAAATTGGGCTTGAATGACTAATGCATCTTGAGCTCTCTAAGAAGATCAAGTGGGGTTTGGCCAATCTACACACCTTAGGTTCACCTCGGACTCTCTGAGGAGGTCGAGTTGGGCTTGGCCTACCTATGCACCTCGGGACCACATTGAGTTCTCCGAGGAGGTCATATTAGACTTGAACAACCTAGGCACCTTAGGCTCATCTTGGGCCATCGGAGGAGGTCGGGTCAGACTTGGCCAACCTACACAATTTAGGCTCACAATAGGCTCTCTTATGATGTCAGATTGACTTGGTCGACTTATATTTCTTAGGCTCATATCAAGCTTTCCAAGGGAGCCAGGTCAGGCTTGGTTAACCTAAGCAGCCTGGCCAAACTTCATTTTGGTCTTTCAATTACGAACCAAAATGCTTAAGCGAAAGTTAAGCCCATATAAGCCTAAGCGAGAGTTAATGTAATACAGTCATCAGGTCCATATAAGCCAATCATACTCATTGCCCACTTCCGATATGGGACTAATGGGATGTTACACCACGGGCCCTATAAGGAGATCGGGTCGAACGAGGGCAACCTATGTAGCTTACGCTCACCTTGGGCTCTTTAAGGAGGTCGGGTAGGGCTTGGTTGCCCCACATATCTCGAGCCCACTTTAGGCTCTCCGAGGATATTAGGTTGGACTTAGCCGACCTATGCATCTTAGGCTCACATCGGGCTCTTAGAGGAAGTCAGGTTGGACTTGGTCGACCTATGCATATTAGGCTCACTTTAGACTCTCCGAGGAGGTCGAGTTGGACTTAGTTAACCTACACATGATCACTTCAGGTTCTCCAAGAACGTCTAATAGGGCTTGGCTGATCTACACATCTTGAGCACTCTGAGAAGGTCGGGTCAAGCTTGGCCGACATATACAACTTGACACCACCTTGGGCTCTCCGAGGAGGTCAAGTCGGACTCAATTGACCTTATTGAATCTTGAATTTTGACGATGAAACTAATTGATAGTGTTTGTGATCTAATATACATTTTGAGTGATGTAGGAAGCTTCGATCAGGGAGAGACAATTAAGGCAGAAAGAATCATGTTGGGCCAAAGTGGAACATGTTAGAAGATTGGACGTCGAGCTGAAGGATCAGTTGACATATCGACAGAAGACCTCAGGCTATAAAATCGGGCATCAGACCAAGAAAAGCGAAAATTACGCTAAAAAAATCAGAGTTATGGAGGTCAACTATCCGATTGAGCAATAGGCCACAAGAGAGGACGATGCGCCGAAGAATTGGATGAGGCATCGATGAACCAATGATATGTCGGACAACATTTGATTTAGCTTTATAATAATTATCTAGATCGAAGTAGGTTTTAGGTGTAATTGAGTTAGAATTAGGCTAACTCAATTAGGTGCCAATTGAGCCAAAGTTTAGGCTGTGTTGGGCCAAGTAAAAGGCCCAAAGAGTGACTCAATAGGTAGAACCGTCGGTGACATAGTCTCTAAGACTATGTCAAGCAGTGGCACCGCTAGTCTGGGCGGTGGTACCGCCCAGATATAGTCTCCCAAGCAATGGTACCACCTAGTGTCAGTGCTACAGGCGATGGTACCGCCCAACATAGGCAGTGGTACCGCTAGTACCCCAAAAATTGGGGATGAGACACTTTTAGGCTCCAAGTTTGAATCCACTTGAGGCCTATAAAGACCCATCTCATCCCTGCTCAGATTACACAAGCACAAAGAACTTAAAAGTGTAAAAATTCTGTTGTAATCTTGAGAGTTCTCCACCTCTAGTCTAAAGTATGATTTCTGTTTAGAGAGGAGTGAGTGGGGGTGTAAAGGTTCTCTCCTGAACCTGTCAAAAGGAGAATCGAGTTGTAAAAGGGTAGTTGATCTTCGCTTGTTGAAAAAAGATCAGTAGTGAAAGCCGATGGCCTCGACGGACGAGAAATCAAGAGTGGATGTAGGTCACAATGACCGAACCACAATAAATTGGTTTACATTTCTATTTATGTAATTTACCTTTACTGTAAACTGCCTTACTTGCTTACTGCATTCACTACACTTACGAACGGGCTTTCAAGATAAACACATTTCCAAAATTGATTTTATCGAAATAATTTTTTTTTCAAAATTGACGTTTTTATCCGCTGCACTAATTCACCCCTCCACTTAGTGCTGACTCGATCCTAACAGACCTATGCAACTTAAACTCACATTGGCTTATTCGAGGAGGTTGGGTCAAACTTGGCTGAGGCTGATTAGACTTTGTTGACATATGCACCTTAAACTCACATAAGGCTCTTCGAGGAGGTTGGGCTTAGCCAATCTATGTATCTCAGGTTCTCTAAGGAGGTCGAGTTAGACTTAGCCAACTTACACACCTTAAGCTCACCTTGGGCTCTCCAAAAAGATAAATTTAGGCTTGGCGGATCTGTGCACCTCATGCTCTTTATGAAGGTTGGATTAGACTTGGCCAATATATACACCTTAGGCTCACCTTGTGTTCTCCAAGGGGATCAGGTTAGACTTAGTTGAACTATGCACCTCAGGCTCACCTCAAGTTCTCCGAGGAGATTGGGACGAATTAGGCCAGCACTTTAGGTTTACATCGAGATATCCAAGGAGGCTAGGTCAGGCTTAGCTGACCTACCCACTTAGGGCCCACCTTGGGCTCTCAGAGGAGGTTAGACTTAGCCAACCTATGTATGTTAGGCTCACATCGGGCTCTTTAAGGAGGTTAAGCTGGACATTACCGACCTATACACCTTAGGCTTCTCATTAGGTTCTCCAAGAAGGTCATGTTCGACTTGACCGACCTATGCATCTTAAGTTCACTTCGAGCTTTCCAAGAAGGTCAAGTTGGGCTTAGCCAACTTATGCACTTTGGGTTCCCTGAGAGAGTTGGATTAAACTTGGCCAAGTTACACATTTTAGACTCACCTTAGGCTCTCCAACAAGGTTAATTTGGGTCGGAGCAAACTAACGTATGCACCTTATGTTCACCTTGGGCTATCCAAGAAGTCACATTGGGTTGGTCAACCTATACACTTTAGGCTCACATCGAGCTCTTCTAAAAGGTCAGATTGGACTTAGCTAACTAATGTATCTTATGCTCACCTCAAGCTCTTCAAGAAAGTCAGGTTATGCTTAGCCAACCTATACACCTCGGGTTTTTTAAGGAGGTCAAGTTGGACTTGGCCAACTATGCACCTTAGGTTTACATTAGGCTCTCCAAGAAGGTCAATTCGGGTTTAGCTGATCGATGAACCTCGGGCTCTCTAAGGAGGCTGAGTCAGACTTGACCGATCTATGCTCCTCGGGCTCTCCGAGGAGATCGAGTCAGAGTTTGTCAACTTACGCACCTTTAGCTTATAACGGCCTCTCTGAGGAGGTTAGGTTGGACTTGGTTGACCTATGTGTCTTAGGCTCATATTAAATGTTTCAAGGAGGCTGGGTTGAGATTAGTTAATCCATGCACCTTGGGCTCACCATCGGCTCTAAAAGGAGGTTGGGTCGGACTAGGGCAACCAATGCACTTTAGGCTTACCTTGCACTCTCTAAGGATGTTTAGTCAAGCTTATCCAACTTCCATCCGTCAAGCCCACCTGGGGCTCTCCAAGTAAGTTGGGTTGGACTTGGCTAACCTATGCACCTTAAGCTCTCACAATGGGCTCTTGAGGAGGCCAGGTTGGACCTAGTCAACCTATGTACCTTAGGCTTACATCAAGCTTCCCAAAGAGGTCAGGTTAAGCTTGGTCAACCTATGCACCTCAAAATCTCCGAGGAGGTCAGGTTGGAATAGGGTGACCTTGGACTCTCCGGGGAGATCAGGTCGGACTTTTGCCAACCTATGCACCTTAGGCCTACCTTGGGCTGTCCGAGGAGGTTGGGTTAGACTTGGTTGATCTATGCACCTTAGGATCATATCAGGCTCTTCGAGAAGGTTAGGTTGGATTTATATGACCTAAGAATATTAGACTGACATTAGGCTCTCTAAGGAGGTCGAGTTGGACTTAGTCAATCTAGAGACCTTAGGCTCACCTTAGGCTCTTTCAGAAAGTTAGGTCAGGCTTGGTTGAACTATGTACCTCGGGCCCACTTGGAGCTCTTTGAGGTGGTTGGGTTAGACTTAGCATAACTATGCACCTCGAGCTCACCTTAGGCTGTCTAAGGTGGTCGAGACAAACTTTGTTGACTAATGCACTTTAGGTTCACATTAAGCACTCCGAGAAGGTTGTGTTAAATTTGGTTGACCCATGCACCATATGCTCACATCGGGCTCTCTAAGGAGATTAAGTTAGATTTGATTGACCTAT